TGTCCCTCCCAGTTATCCCAGTGTATCCCAGGTGTCCCTCCCAGTTATCCCAGTGTATCCCAGCCATCCCAGGTGTCCCTCCCAGTTATCCCAGTGTATCCCAGGGGTCCCTCCCACCCATCCCACCTATCCCGGCTGTCCCTCCCAGTTATCCCAGCCATCCCAGGTGTCCCTCCCAGTTATCCCAGTTATCCCAGTGCCCCGTACCCAGATCTTGATGCTGGGCCCGGTGGCGGCGCAGAGCCAGTAGCGGTTGGGGCTGAAGCAGAGGGCGTTGATCACGTCCCCCCCGTCCAGGGTGTAGAGGTGCTTCCCCTCGTTCAGGTCCCACAGCATGGCCTGCCCGTCCTGGGGGGCACAGGGGGGGCTCCAACAGCTCCAGGAGGGGCCCCAGAGATCCAGGAGGGTCTCCAAGAGCTCCAGGGGGGTCTTCAAGAGCTCCAGGAGGGGCCCCAGAGCTCCAAGAGGGTCTCCAAGAGAGTCCCCAGAGCTCCAAGAGGGTCCCAGAGCTCCAGAAGGGCCCCCAAGAGGGTCCCCAGAGCTCCAAGAGGGACCCCAAGAAGGTTTTTGGGGTGTCCCACCCCCTGGGATGAGGTTTGTGGGGTGTCCCACTCCAGGATGGGGTCTGTGGGGTGTCCCATTCCAGGCTGAGTTTTTTGGGGTATCCCATGCCAGGACGGGGTGTGTGGGGTGTCCCTGACCCCGGGCTGAGTTTTTGGGGTGTCCCACTCCAGGATGGGTTTTTTTGGGGTGTCCCACTCCAGGACGGGGTCTGTGGGGTGCCCCTGACCCCGGGGTGAGTTTTTGGGGTGTCCCACTCCAGGACGGGGTCTGTGCGGTGCCCCTGACCCCGGGGTGAGTTTTTTTGGGTGTCCCACTCCAGGACAGGGTCTGTGGGGTGTCCCTGACCCCGGGGTGAGTTCAGTGAGGTGTCCCACTCCAGGACAGGGTGTGTGGGGTGTCCCTGACCCCAGGCTGAGTTTTTGGGGTGTCCCACTCCAGGACAGGGTGTGTGGGGTGTCCCCTGACCCCGGGGTGAGTTTTTTTGGGGTGTCCCACTCCAGGACAGGGTCTGTGGGGTGTCCCTGATCCTGGAGTGAGTTTTTTCGGGGTGTCCCACTCCAGGACGGGGTGTGTGGGGTGTCCCTGACCCCAGGGTGAGTTTTTGGGGTGTCCCCCTCCCCTTTGGGGCCCGTGGGGCCGTACCTTGCCCCCGGAGGCGCAGAGGGAGCCGTCGGGGGACACGGTGACGGTGTTCAGGTACCCCGTGTGCCCGATGTGGTTGGTCTTCAGCTTGCAGTTGGCCAAGTTCCACACCTGCAAACGGGGGCGGTCAAAGGCGGCTCCTCTGACCCCAAATCCCGGGATTTTCGGGGTGGGATCCATCCCCCCCTCAGAGCTCACCTTGACCAGCTTGTCCCAGCCGCAGGACACGATGATGGGGTTGCTGCTGTTGGGGGAGAAGCGGACACAGGACACCCACTCCGAGTGGCTCTCGTCCTGCGCGGGGAGAAGGGTGGGAATGGGGCTGGAGCCCCCCGGGATGTCCCCAGGGCATTGTCCTCCCCCTGGAATGTCCCCAGGGCCTTGTGTCCCCCCTGGAATGTCCCCAGGGCCTTGTGTCCCCCTGGAATGTCCCCAGGGCATTGTCCTCCCCCTGGAATGTCCCCAGGGCCTTGTG